GGGTGGCCTCTTAGTCTTCTGACGAGACGCCCTCCGAGATATTGCTGGAATATTGCTAAAAGCGGTGTTAAACTAAAACTCACTCACTCACGCTCTAAAGAGACCAACTTCGCTGACGGCGCAGAGTTATGTCCCTTACGACACTAGGTTGATGCAATCGGGATGGATACGTTTGATTGTAGACTTGACCTCACCAAACTGACCAAGAAGGTCCGAAGTCAGCCATTGTTTCTATGGTTACGAGGGAAAGTATTATAGTTCTGAACCATTCTGACAATACGATTCCCGTAAGAGATACTCGGGATTTTTCTTGGAACGCATTAGGCATCAGGGCGGTGGGGTTACCTAGTGGATAAAGCGTTCGCTCGTCACGCCGAAGACCCGGGTTCGATTCCCCACATGGGTACAATGTGTGAAACCCATTTCTGGTGTCCCCCGTCGTGATATTGCTGGAATATTGCTAAAAGCGGCGTGAAACCATACTCACTCACTCATTACGCCTCAATTTTCAACTGGCGTCTTTATCTTGAAATGCTGAAAGAATACTGGCCTACAGCAAGAATCTGTGGAGATACTATGTACAGACATATACTAATGACTGGTCCAAACTACGCCCCGCCGTTATAAAGCTGTGTAAAACAAAAAGAGTGAGTGAGTGAGTTTGATTTTACGCCGCTTTTAGCAATATTCCAGCAATATCACGGCGGGGGACACCAGAAATGGGCTTCACACATTGTACGTATGAGGGGAATCGAACCCGGAAAACAAAAAGAACAAACCAGCCAACAAACGAATGAACATGACAATGATGTTTAAAAGATTAGTATATGACATGCGTCTTCAGAGATATTTACATGAACCTAAACCTTCGTTTTCCTGAAACATATTTGGAGATAAGTTCACCGATGAAGGTAAATCGATTAGATATAATTAATATATTGTGTTATATTTTAATGATTATATATATGCATTTTTTGCCATGGAAACAGCTAAAATTTCTGCTCTATGATTACATTAACCATCTCATTTGGTTATGTCCTTAATAGATTTCCCCTACTAGCAATTTCGTCCTGCTTGATAACACATTGCAGTATTTACCCATGTGAAGGATCTCATGTCCCAACTACGAAACAGCTCCAGTGCTGCTAGCCGGACCATACCTCGGTAACGTACATCCATCAATTTCCGACCAGTTCGAAGCTCAGCGAGCCTGGGGCTAAGAAAGAACTAGAAATCTCGAAAGAAACTTATTTTTTAGGTCTTATTCTCGAGTACTTGGTGATTGCTGTGGTACATACGTGCCAGTCTGAGGAGGATTCGACAAGCGGTTTAGCCGCTTGTGTTTAACTGAATGATCCTCAGAGAAATGGGTTTAGGTAAAAAAGAAATTGTTTGATACTGAGAGTAATATTGATTTGCTTGAAGTGGCGTTTATTAAACCTGTCCTGTGTGACAGGAATAAAATATTAGCTCTTGGGGCTTGCATTTAATATGATCACACGTACGCGATGAATTGAAATGAAGAATGGCAGACAGAGTGTTATTGTCCTGTTTTCGGTACATCTCGTAGATCATAAATAATCCATGGTTTTGTTTGTTCGTTTTCTTCCGCAGTAGTATCTCGTGTGTATTGTCATGTTTCCTAATGATTGAATAATATTGCCCTGACGGAATGAAAAAGTAATGTGTTTGGTTCCTTGGGAGCGGACGTGACTGTAGATCAGCACGCAATACTTCTTGTTTCTGGGGCATTATTCTCAGGTGACAATCCTTTGTCCTGACTTTTAGAAGAGCTTGTGCAGTTTGGTTTTACGCCGCTTTTAGCAATATTCTAACAATGCAACGCCGTAGAACATCAGAAATGGGCCTCACGCATTGTACGCACATGGGGAATCGAACCCAGATCTTCAGCCTGAGGACTAGTGAGCATGGCTGTACGCCGCTTTTAGCAATATTCCAGCAATATCACGGCGGGGGACCCCAGAAATGGCCTTCACACATTGTACCCATGTTGGGATTCGAACCCAGGTCTTCAGCGTGAGGAACGCATTGACCATTGGGCTAGTGGGTATGGTTTAACGCCGCTTTTAAATCCAGCAATATCACGACGGGAGGCACCAGAAATGGGCTTCACACACTGTACCCATGTGGAGAATCGAACCCGGGCCTTCGGTATGACGAGCGAACGTTTTAACCACTAGGCTACCCCACCGCTTCCAGTCATTAAAGAGCCTCTATATATTCACGCGTTGCCTCTGACAAAAAGGTGATGTGTCAGTGTGCCCTGTGAATAACACAAATATATATAATTTACATTGATAGGAATGTGGTATGACAATAAGTCTCAAGTGCGTTCTTGTGTTTTGTGAATGTTGTTCAGCAGTTGGGGAGGAGGGCGGGTTAGACTATACAGTATGTATGAATGTGTAATAGATTTTGACATGTTTATTGTTTTATGAAACAAACAGCTTTTCATGAGATGCACGCAACTTCATGGATTTACAACAAGTGTATATTTTTATGTCTCGTGGAGCAAGTGTCCCAGTCTGAAATGAGTCGATTCGCTATAATCGTCGATGTGATTTATCTTGGTCGTATCTTAGCTTGGGTGTTGCAGAAAACTAAAGGCAAAACCATGACCATGATACCTGTAGCGCTTAAGGTTTTTGTCTCCCAAGAAGTTGACAACTACGGTATTCAATTACTCTCACTCACTCACTCACTCACTCACTCACCACACGTCACTCACTCATTCACACGTCGTCACTCACTCACTCACTCATTTACACGTCACTCATTTACACTTCACTCACTCACTCACCCACCCACCGTCTCACTCACTTATTTACACGTCACTCATTTACACTTCACTCACTCACTTACACGTCGTCACTCACTCACTCACCCACCCACCGCCTCACTCACTCATTTACACGTCACTCATTTACACTTCACTCACTCACTCACACGTCGCCACTCACTCACTCACCCACCCACCGTCTCACTCACTCATTTACACGTCACTCATTTACACTTCACTCACTCACTCACACGTCGTCACTCACTCACTTGTCACGCATACGCACGCATTCACTCACAAGTCACTCACTCACACACTCACTCACTCTCTCTCTCACTACCACATTACGTGGGTAGTTTGTAGGAACTATGCTTCGCATTGCAGCCATGCCAGAATCGAACCCGGACCTTTGATGAATTCGGCAAGCATCCCTGCAACAAAACGAACTTTAGAATTGACAGATCCGTTCTGGGAAACTTAGAAAATATATGTTGTTCATGTAATGCTAGACAAAATGTCTTTGATTAGCAAGAATAATCCAAAAATAATTAATCGCGCAGAAAGTATATCCAATATCTTTAAAACTTATTCAGTTTGATAATATATTCATACACGACATTAAACTGTTAAATTGCACCCTTGGGCAACGTCTGAGACAGGTTTGATGTAAAAAGTATTCCAGTCGGGTTTAAGCAAATTGACTCTCTGAAATAGAATATCCCTGGGTTCTTTTCAAACTTGAGATCTGTGCCCTCCGTACATTTAGTGGTCATCTGGCCGAGTTCAAGTAGTGGTCCTCTTCTGAGGCAGATTGATATCTGAAACTTCAGATAGTTTGACATGTATCACATTGAACGTTTCAGTGCCTTGAGTTGTGAGAGATACAGCCAGTACATGAAATATACCGAGGTACAAAAGAAAGTACACGCCTGGTTTGGGAGATCAGGGTGCTGTTGTACAAAACAACCTTAGCGCTAAGACTACCTTAAAGTCCGGGGTTCAAACCTAGACGCAGATGGGATGTGGCCACATTGCCTGGTCAAAGCTTTTGATGCAAAGCAAAGCAATATTCATGTACATTCCATGAAATATCACGAAATTGACTTACCGATTCATGATGAAATTGAGCCATAGTATAAAGAAGAATGGTATGAAGACTCACAGCAAAAAGTATGAATGCAGACAGCCTACAAAACATACATATTTCTCATATTTAAATCCAGATTTGAATTTCCCACTGTGTCACTCAGGTGGCAAGAGGAGGTGCGTTTCCATATAAACAAGCCTGTGAGTGGGGAAAAGTTTCATTCAGGGTTTCATTGTTCAGCCAAGCTGGGAAAAGGCCCCACCACCCCTTTGAGTCTGTGTTAAGCTATTTGAGTTACGGTCACGTCAGCGCTAAGACTACCTTAAGTCTATGTTAAGCTATGGAAGTTACGGTCACGTTAAGATCACTTTGTACAACGGCGCCCAGCTATTTGGAAAAGATTAGCTTCTGACTTACAGGTCACAAACATTGTGCACGTGTAGCCACAACGCATCAGATACCTTAACCATTTACGGTAATCCCACTGCACGCGGTGTATAGTTTCTTTTGAATGTCAGTTTATTTACCTTGATCTGAAAAAAGTAACTAAAAAACCTTCATGAGGTTACAGTCTTCAGATACCCATATATAAAACATCTTGGACCTAGCGTAACTTCCATCAGATGTTTCAGATGCCATTTCTCTATAGTGGTCCGTGAAGATCCGGGTTAGAATTGGTCTTCAGCAACCCATGCTTCTCATTAGAGACGACTAATGGGATCGGGTGGTTCCGCTCGCTGACTTGGTTGACACATGTCATCGTATCCCAGTTGCGTAGATCAATGCTCATGAGGTTGATCACTGGATTATATGCCCCAGACTTGATTATTTACAGACCGCCGCCATATAGCTAGAATATTGCTGAATGCGGCGTTAAACAACAAACAAACAACAAACCATTTGAGTGAGTGAGTGAGTGAGTTTCGTTTTACGCCGCTTTTAGCAATATTCCAGCAATATCACGGCGGGGGACACCAGAAATGGACTTAACACATTGTGCCCATGTGGGGAATCGAACCCGGGTTTTCGGCGTGACGAGCGAACGCCTTAACCACTAGGCTACCCCACCGCCCCACAAACCATTTGACTTGACCCCTGCTTTGTCTGTTTCAGATGAGGACACGATCAGAATGACAGAGATTTGTGCCAGTGGGGGAAGTAAAATGAAATGCTCTCAAAATGAGACTCTAGAAATCGGAAATATAGTGTGTGGGGGTGGCAGCCACGCCTGCTCCCCGGGCACCAATGAAACGATATTCTCCGTGTGTCATGGACAAAGGACATGTGCCACACTCGGCTTAAGGACAATGATGGACTCTTACTGTGGATACCTTTTTGACATCACGCGACAGATCCACGTGACTTTCAGGTGTGTCACAGCAGGTAGGGGAGATTACAAACCGGAAGTAACGTCACGTCATTTCCGGTTATTCAATGACATTTTTATTATTTAAAATTGCCATAGCGATTCTTTATTATGTGACTCATGCAACAAATGTCTTGTATCAGTTATTTTATATCGTCTATATCTCCAGGAATTTCACAAACGACTGGTACAATGTGTGAAGCCCATTTCTGGTATCCCCCGCCATGACATTGTTGGAATATTGCTAAAAGTGGCGTAAAACCATACTCACTCACTCACTCAAACTGGTGATGGCAAGTTCCTTTACTACCTAGCATTTCTTTGATACATCCCTTTCGTTTTTTCTTCATTTCATCCTTTATTGGTCCTTTAATTTAATTAAATTCAAGCCTAGTAATAAGAGATGGCAACGGGAATAGATGCTGGGGTTAGTATAGGTTTAGTGGAACCCGAGCCCTGGAAATGGATGAGAATGGTCTTGGTATACTCTTCACATCGCTTCCACAACCATAGCTGAACATACACTCTTCTAAAAAGTTGGGGAACTTCATTTTTAATTTACGATTGAAAAAAAGGGGAGATATATCTGAGTCAATCAATGTTGATGTGATAATAATGAATGTTTTGAGTGTGCATCACCACTTGCACTTCCTTATGACCACAGTTGTTTGTACAGTAAGTGATTGGTGTATGACGTGAAATTTGCATGTGTATGGTATTCACTTTCAAACAATAACAACGGCTAGAAACAAACACTAACAACTGTGTGATGCAAGATGACTGTTAAAATTAATGGTCTACAGTGATTTACCGACCTTTTCCAAAAACAAAACAAAGTCAAGAATAACATCCCATGCACGTGCATGGGGCAACTGCGTTGTGCACGTGCATCCAGTGCATTGTGTTGAGGGGTGGTAATAAAGAGAAATGGTGATGCGTTCATAACATGTCTCTCTTTGAAAAGTTTGTTAACGCTTATACTTCCCATCCAAATTGAAAGTTCATGTTCCCCTACGTTTTTAAAAGTATATTTCCCCCATTTTGACCCCCCGCTGTCGCCGGATAATACTCCTCATTAGCGTCAATTAACCCCGACTCTGGAAGAATTTTGGGGTCTCATGATCACCACCTTTTCAGAACCGTATTCCGCCCATTTGATTTACAACACAACACATCTGACCGCTCTCCCGAGGCACACTTATTTAGTCCACTTCAACAAGTACAGTTTAATTTACTCTGGCGCCGGGTGAAATTACAATGAAATTGAAGACACAATCAGCGAAGTAGGTGCTTTCAAGAATACAGTTATAAACAGATATCTGTTACCGTCTAACAACATTAGAGCGGCCGCCCGAAGAGCGGAAGGTCGCGGGTTCGATTCCCGACCGCGCCATACCAAAAGACGTTAAAATATGGCACTTGTTGGTCCCTGCCTGGCGTTCGGCATTAATGGGTACAACAAGGACTGGTCGGCTCGGAGTCAGTATAATGTGTCTGAGTGGGGTATTCATGCGTCACTTCGGCATGGTATCTCAGTGGGCTAGCACTATACAACCAGCTTAAATCTGGGCTAGTACAAGCAGCCGCACATAAACATACACACGCATGCACGTCGTCATATGAGCGAAATATTCTCAAGCACAACGTTAAACCCAATTTCACTTCGCCTCATCTAACAACATTATTTGACTTTTGGCCTGTGTCTCGTCATGTATAATGTCAGTCTTCCACTACTTTTACGCTAAAAAAGAGAGTTCTTCTATCTATTTGGTGATATGAGTGAGTGAATATGGTTTTACGCCGCTTAAGCAATATTCCAGCAACGTCACGGCGGGGGACACCAGAAATGGGCTCCACACATTGTACGAGTGTGGAGACTCGAACCGGGGTCTTCGGCGTGACGAGCAAATGCTTTAACCACAAGGCTACCCTACCGCCCCTCTATTTGCTTGTAAAATATCCATGTATATTAGACCTATATATGAGGAGTCCAAATTAGCAGCCCAAGATCCACAGAATATTAATCTGAGTGAACCGAGAATCGAACATACTGTCACAAGTTCCTGACGCGTCCAAGGTACGCAACCCGTGCTACCCCAGTAACTCCAAGATTTACTGTTTTGTAAATAAGCACATAATTCCATTTAAATTTGAAAAGGCGCCCCATTGAGGCCTGAACCTTAAGGGAATCTAGACTTGCTTCATTTAGGAATTTAACATTGCGGGACTAGGCGGAAAGGAAAATAATGTGTTTCAGGGACTGTGAGACAGACTAGGTCTACCGCAATGTATTTTCATACAAATACGTCCCGTGAAGATCTCGGGTAGAATTGGTCTTCAGTAACCCATGCTTCTCGTAAGAGGCGACCTATAGGGATTTGGAGGTCATGCTCGCTGACTTGGTTGACAAATGTCATCGTATCCTAGTCTAGTAGATCCATTTTCATGATGTCGATTAATGGATTGTCTGGTCCAGACTCGATTATTTGAAGACCGCCACCATATAGCTGGAATATCAATGAGTGCGGCGTAAAACTAAACTCACTCACTCACTCATACAAAACCACTCTGTATATCCACTGAAACAAACCACAGTCGTAATATTCTGTAAGCAGCATGCAGCATGTTTCATCACAAAGGTCATTGTATGAATAGATGGCGCCACTGTTACCATTACAGAAGAGCATAAGGCGGATCTGCGGACCGTTTACCGACGTACTTCAGACATTCATGTTTCAGAGAAATGCATACCGTTGTCAGGAGATATGTTAATGATCTTGAGAACTGCTTCAAGGAAATTAAAAAATATGTCTCTAAACATGATATCTAAACACGAGTTTGCTTCTTCAGATATTGCTGTTTTTTCTGAAACGTGATTCATTTTGATTTTTAACTCCTTACAACGTAAAGATTATAGGAGCCTACAGGAGTGTATTTTTGAATGTTTCTTTGAAAATACTAGTATAGCATAAAGAAATAGTGACGTTGCAAAAAGATGTGCATCTTAATTACTAACATTTAAATGTCAGTCATCACTTAGAGAGGGAGGAGGGGCGGGGGAGGGTTGAGGGAAGGGATGGACACATATATGTGTTAACTCATGTGGGATGTCGAGTGAATTATGGTAATAAACTGACGTTCAAAAGAAACTTTACCACTTTTTAAATAAAACTGCAACATTGCGTTCATGATACCGTGCAGCATGGTGGCGGGTGTCTTGGTGTGGACATGGATTTGTAAGGAGGAGAGAACACAAACTGAACGGACAGCTCAGCGATACATGGATGACTTTCTCCGTCAAATTGTTCAACCATTTCTACAACGCCCGCGACGTGGTGTCCATCATCAGCATGACAGAAGCCCGAATTGTACAGAACTTACCTCCAGCCAAGAAACGTCAGCGTGTTGCCTGCCCGCCCCCAAGACACGTCCTCTATAGAGCAATGGCGAAAGAAGAATGGCGACGTATCCACGTAGCGACGACTGACCAAACCGAAACATGAGTCTCATTAACCTATTCAGACAATGACCTACTTTTCAGCCGATCCGAATTTTCTCGTGTTTCATAAGAAAATGGTATTTACAAAATAATTTTAATTTTAAACTTTAATAACATCGTATTTCTATATTTTATGGCGAGGTGTAGGCCGTATGACCTTAACTGAGACGTCACAGACTGCCCCTGTTTGATGAGGTCGTAAAATGATTCACAAGTCATCTGGCTCACTGATAACACCTGATATGTGTTCTTTGCGCTTATTCAGTGTAGTTTTGTAACGCACAATGTGATTGATATAATATCAAGTCCGTACCAGACCGCCAAACCTTTCTAGCGGCAGAGCCTCGTTTTCAGATTTCCACGATTTCCAGATTTCCGTTTGTCAGAGCACGCTGGACGACGTGTTTGCAAGGTTTAGAAGGAGGGTAGTGTTGCAATATACAAGTGGTTAGATGTATCAAATAATACTGATAAATATTTACGTATCCAGTTGAATGAATTGGTCTCAAAATTCTGGACTGGTTATTGTACTAAGTTGCGCAATAGGACGGAACCCAGTCAGCAGGAAACGAGACTTGTGTAATCAATGTTTTGAATTGATTTCTGCAACGTCATCAGACGACTTACTTTACTGTAACGTCATCAGACTACTCCTTTTTTCTGTAACGTCATCAGACGATTTACTTTTTCTGTAACGTCATCAGACGTCAAACATTCTCTCTAACGCACCAGACGGCTTCCTTTTTCTCTGTCATCAGACGTCATACTTTTTCTGTAACGTCACTAGACGGCTTCCTTTTTCCGTCAATTTAGATTATTTTGTTTGCGAAAAGGGTCAGGCTTGACTGTAAAAATTTTTCGGCTCGGACCTGGAACTGGAAGAGTATATCAATCAAGTTTTGATATAAACATTTCGCATTGTTACAAATATCCTGATAATATTAACAATAAGATGATAAAGATGATGGGTGTAGTGATGATGATGATGAGGAGGAGGAAGAGGAGGAGGAAAATGAGGATGATGATGCAGAATCTCCCTGTGACACTAAATAAAGCACAATGATAAAGCCCTTGTTCTGGGATAAAGCAGCGCTTTGAAAAACACCACGATGTCCACCTTTAAAAGCACAAAGTACAGGTGAACACAGCATCCACCATTTGCCAAAAGCCAGACGTATTATTACTACCAACACACGTGATATGATTAATAACAAGACGCGGAACGCAGCTGCATGCCATAGAAGAAATTAAGAAAATCAATAACTCCCCGAAAACGACAAATCTAAACACCGATATTGATTTAATAAAAGAAAGAAATAGACGCACGTGGACATCAAATGGAAGATAGAAAAACTTGATTAAAGAGAGGCTTCTTTGTAGGCGACCTCCAAGATTTTTCACGGCAGAAGACGGCCCCTACCCCTTGGAGACGTTTAATCACCAAGAATTTGATTTGTATGAAGGGAAAGAAGGACGAAGGAGTTGGTCTACCGTCTTGGGACGACTGTAGTGGTCGTT